ATTTGAAATTCACCAAGATACCAAGAAATGTGCTTTTTCATGCATAGGATTGACTCAGATAATAACTCTGCAACATTAAAAGGAAAAATCAATCTAGCCGCAAGATTTTTGATAATGTGTTGCTTGTAACTTAATTTATCAGTTTTCAGTATACATTTAAAGATATGATCGAAATTATGTTAACATTTTTCTTTTTTATTATTAATCTTGTCATCATAATGATACTTTAATGTTTTTAAAAGTACTTCTGCCTTTCAAAATCAGATCACAAAACAAAAATAAAATAGAATAATTAGTTTATTAACAGATATGCAGAGGACTGAATTATAGCATTGTGATATATTTTATATATGTACATTATAAATTAATCTCACTGATCTCAGTAGTAGTTATATCTGAGTTGCTATGTATAAAGTTAGATTGAAGAAATCCAAAACAATTTATTACATAACTACCCTTCTGAATTCATGAACCTGCATTGTAACATTGTAGCATTTTTCTCTGTTTATTGTATTACTTTTCTACTACTCATGGCATAAATATACCAAATAAATATTTGTTGATAATAGAAGAGCATCCGTGTTCCATAGCATTAACTATAATATTGTATAATCATTCATATAAACTATGGCATATCTATATTTCCCTGAAAATAAGACTGGGTCTTATATTAATTTTTGCTCCAAAAGATGCATTATTTGCCGGTTAGGTCTTATTTTTGGATAAATATGGTAAATGTGTTCGTTTGGCTGATGATCTTAATGGGGCTTATTTTTTGGGGTAGAACTTATATTACAAGCAACTTGAAAAATCATGCTAGGGCTTATTTTCCAGTTAGGTTTTATTTTCAGGGAAACACGATAATTACTGTACTACATTTTTTTAAAAATCTGTCATTATATTATTCTAGTCTATTAGCTAATATTTCTCTTAATTTTCCAGAAATGAAAAGACCAGTGATAAAAGTGGAGGTGGAGATGGAGACTGCAGGAAAAATGCTGAAGGATTTTCACAGAGAAGAAAACGGATATCCACTATGCCTAACCTTATAAAACCAAAAATTGTACCTCCACCTCCCCCCACTGTTGATTCGTCATCAAAATGCTCTCAAAAACAAGGACCCCATTCTCCTGCTTTTAGTAACTCTAAAGAAACATCTTTATCTGAAAAGATCGATGTGGAAAATTCTCCCAAGTCTTCCATATTGCCTGAAAAGAAAACTTCTGCTCCTCAAGTGCCACAGTTCTCTCCATTTAAAAAATCTGTTAGTAAAGAATCCAGTCTGTGTATGCCCCCTCAAAGAAGTGATGAAGTCCTTCCGAAGAACATAAGCTCGCCTCTCAAAGAAAGACCCACCCAGGAAACATTGATAGAAGAGGAAACAACACAAACAAAATCTGCTTCAGCAGATAAGAAAAAGATTTGTTCAGATCGTGTGAAAATTATCAAAAGTCAGAAGCTAAGGAAGATGCTTAAAGAAGAATTGAATAAAGAGAAAGTACAGTATTTTTGTAATTTTAATCTGAAGTATCAGGGAAGGAAATGGAAAGAGTTCTACCATGTTTCCCCGATAATAAGACCGGATCTTATTTTCTTTTTACCCACAAAATATGGCTTGGGCTTTATTATCCGGGGGGAGGGGGGTTATTGTTTTGGGGTTGCTGGGCAGCTGCTCTCTTGTGAGCGGGCTCCCAAAGAGCCGGGCATAGCCTCAGGGGTGAACGGCTGTGTTGTGCTGTTGCAGTAGCGCAGCACAACAGTCATGAAGTGACCAGGCTCATGAACAGCCACCTGGCAAACCCCCTTTCCGGCCAGGCACAGCACCATCCACTGATCTAGGGGTATCGCCAAGCCACATGAGCGCCTGTTCACCACCGCCCAGCTCCCGCGGCTTGGCGTCTTCAAAGTGCCAGTGAATGGCGCTCTACACGGCTGGAGAGGGGGGTTGCAAGAGTGGCTGTTCCGCTCCCGCTCGCACACCTCCCAGCCTCACGATGCCCTGGCCCAGCTCTCTCTGCAGACGAAGAGCACTTCCACTCCTGCTGTCACTGCCGCCATCCCGGCATGGCTTTTTTGGTGGCTTCCAAACCAAGTCTTCCGGCAGTAGTGGGTGTACTCTCTATTGTTGTGGGCCGGTTGCCGGCAGAGCGTGCTCCCAGAGTGTACAGTCATAGAGTGTACGCCCAGAGCGGCCACTGCCAAAAGACTCGGTTTTGGAAGCTGCCAAAAAAGCCATGCTGGGATGGTGGCGGGAGCGGAGGTGCTCTTCCTCTGCACAGAGAACTGGGGCAGGGTATCGTGAGGCTGGGAGTGGGAGCGGAACAGCCACTCTCGCAACCCCCNTTGGAGCCGACCGTAGAAGGATATTTCTTTCAACAATTCTGTTATGGGATTTATTTATTTAGAAATTTGATTTGCCACCCATCCCCTATCCAACGATGAATTAACAAACCACCCGTCCGTCCTTTCTTCAGTATAAATCTGAAACGCAAAACTCGATTTCTGCATTGCAGGCGGTACATTAACCGTTAATAAGAACCAAACCTTGCTTTTGTCGCAGAATGATGACGCGACCCGTTACGCCATCGAGGAGCAGCTGATTTAAGTCCTCTCCCAGAGAGGAAGGGCGGGGAGCTGTGGACCGAGCCGGGCCGATGACATGAGGCGGCCTCGCCGGCGACGCTGGACTTTAGCCGTGGCTGGACCATCCGCCTCGCGACACCATGTTCCGCCGCGCCAGGTTCAGCGTGAAGCCCAACGTACGGCCGAATGCTGCAGGGAGAGCCGGGAATAGCGGAGGGAGCACGAGCTCAGTTGTCCCGGCGGTTGTCACCGCTGCCGCCGCCGCCACCACCACAGATGCCGACGGTCAACATGATTCGGCGTCGACCAGCTGCTCTTCTACGGCCGAGGACAGCTCGATGCCCCATCGCGGGGACGCTGCCGCCTCTGGAGATCCTCACCTGAGCGGGGACAGTAGTGACAACCATAGCAGGTAACTGAGGTTTGCTTTTTAAAAGCCTCCCGTTGATGCTTTTGCGTCTCCATCTCAGAAACCGCCGGAGCTTCCCAGCTTCCTTTTTGAAATGACTTGAGAGACACCTTGGAAGTTAGATCCGGGACGCTCGTTAACTACGGTATTTACCCCCTTTGAGGGTAAGCTTTGAGAAAGCTTCTCTTAGAGGTTCATAATCTTCTGAGTCATCAAAACTCCCATCTCAATGAGATGTGTGTGAGAACTTTAGGTTTGTGTTGTAATAACTGAGCTGTTTGGACTGAGTGTAGTGACTTGATTTTGTAGTGTGAACATGCAGAGAAATAATTGGCATTAAATAGACTGTAGAAATCCTACCAACTTGCTGTTCTCCTATAGTGAAATTTTCCAGATACAGTGATGTGGATGATGATGTTGATGATCATGATGCAGAAACATTGCATTGGCCAAACTCTGATCCAATGATAGTATAGTATCTAAACTGTACTATTGGTCACCTGCACAATGAATAATGCTGTCAGTAGGTTCATAAGCTTGAGCTGTCTTGCTTATGTCCCTGCCAACCTTGTAAGTCTTTAATATCAGCTCCTTATAGCTAATTAGATAACAAGTACAGGTAGTCCTTGACTTACAACAGTTCATTTAGTGACTGTTCGAAGTTACAACAGCACTGAGAAAAGTGACTTGACCATATAAATTTAATAAGTAAAATAAACAGAACAATATAGGAAACTGCCATTACTGCAGTTTAGGAGTCCTTTGGATTGTTGCAGGCTTGATGTGAATGTTATACATAAATTAATAAAGTAATGTATTCAGTTTGAAACTTGATTGTTGTGTGAGATCTCCCATTAAATTGTATGAATAAATTACAAATAGGTAGAATTGTTCTTTTGATTTGTTTAAAATACTTGGTGAACTTTCAAACAGAAGGGCTTGGTCTTTCTACTGTTCTTCTGAGGCTGCAGTTACTATACATACACACATAGACACATACACATGGAGAGGGGGGAAAGAGAGAGAGGTGAACACTTATATATACAGTTGGAGTATATCCCAGTTAAGTTTTACCCTTGTCTTCAGGCTCAACCTGAGACTCATTATCTAGCTTCATTTAATTTTTGATTAATATTGGGATACCTGTTAGTGTAAGTCTCAGTTCGACTATCTGCAGTTAATGCAGTTAATACACAGAGCAAATATTGGGTTACAGATCTAACTGTGAACCCTTTATCTCATTACTTTATGGGATAATCCCATTTTAAAAATAATTTCTAAATCTGTTGGGAGAGGGGGTAAACTGGACATCAAAATATTTGGATCAACTCATGTCTGAGGAAGCAATTAATTTTTTAAATTCAAAATTATTACATTTAATATGGGGTGCATGGTTTTTTGGGGGGAGTTAAAACAGTTTGATTTACATCAATAATCTTTTTGGAGAATATTCAATTAACAGGTTATTTGATCCAAATACAGCTGCTGCTTCTGAAGTTCCCCAGAGGTTAGAGGTTGTGGCTACTTAGTAACTCTTTTAGCAAATTGATGAAATTGATTTTATTTATTTATTTATGTAAGCATTAGCATGATGAGCTTGAATGCTATACTCTGATAATCATTGAAAGGCTGCATTAAACAGTTATAATTTTATTTCCTATGATCATAAAATGAAATTAATGTGGTTTAAACTTTTGCTTTGTATATACTGGTGTGTATATACTGGTGCTTCAGATAATGTTAAATGAAGTTTGATTACAATCACCCTGCCATTGGAGATGTAATTTGGGAATTGGTACATTAATCCATATGGTTGGGTCATTTCCTATGATTGTTGGGTTTGGGGCTGACATCAACAGGATAGTTAAATTCTAGATCAATTTCTGATTATTAAAAGTGTATGTGTTCTTGGCTATATCACCAGTATTTGAAATTCACCAAGATACCAAGAAATGTGCTTTTTCATGCATAGGATTGACTCAGATAATAACTCTGCAACATTAAAAGGAAAAATCAATCTAGCC